ACCACAACAGTGGTAGTTGTAGATGACAAGTTCCATGAGAGCCACAGAGGCAGAAACATCTGACACTGCAGTAAGCATCAAGGTCCATGAACTACCAGTGAGGGCAACAGCAGAAGATGCTAGAACCAATCTTAGCTGCAGATAGAAGATGACAAAGTAAGTGTGAAGATCTCTGAGACTGCACAGTACTGAAGGGGCAGATCCAAACCCTGACCTACTCCCTGAGGGAAGAAGTGAAGTCCTAGCTGAAGAGTGCTAGACTCCAGCAGCCTGCTTTAGGTCACAATTAGGTGTTTTAGGTTGAATTTCCCCAGGAAGCAGATGGGGAATATTTTAAGGAGGGAACATCTATGAGAGTAAAGGGAGCACCACTGAGCAAGGGAGAAACAAGTGAGAAAGAGGCCACAGTTATCAACATGGTACTCAGGACATCTCTAGTCTGCTCTTCAGTTACTGAAAATCAAGGTTGCTGCTCCAGACAAGGATGAAGGGCAAGACTTGTGAACGGAAAAGTACAGCCCAGTCTGATCAGCAATCTTTCCTGGTTTGTGTTTTGTTTTGATGTAATAATGGCAAATAAGGGATGCAGTACACTTACTTCTTATGGAAATGTATAACACATGAAAGTTTTCATCACTAAGTACCAATCTTAGAGCAGCTGACCAGCTTTTCTTTTGAATTCTGTAATTACGTGTAACTATGGAGTGATGGTAGGGCCTACAATGGTCAGAAGAGGGTACGATGATCCACGGAGCTGGGGTTACAGGTGAGCTGCTTCAAGTGGATGCTGGAAACAGAACTCAGGTCCTCTGGAAGAGCGAACAAGAGCTCTTGACCAGTGAACCTTCTTTAAAGCCTTCAGCCTTTTTTTTTTTTTTTTGAAAAATGAATTCCTCATTATCTTCACCTTACAGACCAAGAAACTAAGATTCAAATACTCAGTAAGTTCACACTCTCATGGCAGTTGTTCCAAAACTACAGGCTGTTAGTCCAATTCTCCACCATTTGAAACAATTATATATTTTCTTTTTAAAATGTTTGCATAGCCAGGCAGTAGTGGCACAGACCTTTAACCCAGCACTTGGGAGGCAGAGGAAGGTGTATCTCTGTGAGTTCAAGGCCAGCCTGGTCTACAGACCAAGTTCCAGGACAGCCCCAAAATCCCAAAAAAACAAAACCAAACCAAAAAAACTTTGCACTTGTACAGTATGTATACATATATTCATGTTAACCAGGCATATGCATACCACAGCATATGTGTGGGAGTCAGCTAGGTGGACTCCCATCTATCCATAGGAACACTGGGGTTACACCCATGTCTGGCTTTACCAGAGTCCTAGGGATACAACTCAGGCTTCATAATTAAGAGACAAGATCTTATACTGACTGTGATATCTCCCCAGGATTGACAACTGAATCACACATATGTATGTGAAAAAATGTATGAGATATCACTGGTGAGTAAAAATGTTAAGCATCTAATCTTCACTATCTTGTTTTTCCTTTATGCTTAGTTTCCAAGGGCTGGTTCAAAGTGCACAGGGTCATAATCAATCAAGTACCAACGGGAGTCAAAGCAAGTGACTTTGACTGAAAGGCAAAAACCGTCGAGTGATCACTGATCCCTTCCCATTTTCCTGTCACTGATTCTGCTGTGGCTGGTAGGTCTAGAGTTTCAGTGTGCTGCTCTATCATGAAGCAGTTTTCAAGCTCTTCAATAGTTTATCCTTCACGTTTTTCTCCCTGAGAGAGGGTTTCTCTGTGTAGCTCTGGTTGTGTCCTAAAACTTGCTCTGTAGAACAGGCTGGCCTCAAACACATAGAGATCCACCTACCTCTGTGTCCTGAGTACTGGGATTAAAAAGTGTGTGCTAACACTGTTCAGCTTAATCTTTAATCTTTTTAAGGAAAAAAAAAAAGACCTATAAAAATTCAAGGAAGTTCTGTGAGTAGTGAATCCCACTGTGTACTGTGTGTTGTCTAAAAGTCAATAGCCAGATGCTCCCATTCAGAGGCTTTGCAAGACAAATGCTCTCCTTTGTGGAAAAGACAACATCAAGAACAGTAACACAATAAAATGCCCAAGAACACCCTTCTCCCCAGTTCTGGCTGCCTTCTAACCTGCTTTCTTTGCAAGGCTGTGCTTTTCCATTAGTATTTGTCAGTCTGTCTCTCGTATTCCTTCTACTTCCTTTTCTACCTACTGCATCCTATCTTCTCCTTTGGGTACATATTCCTGAAATATTTATGTAGATCATAAACTTAAGGGAAACAACACAATTTAACATTATGATTCAGGACCATGGACAGTGCCCCTAGGTTGCCCTGTTTAGAGACCAACTGAAATTTTGATATATTATTAAACATATTTGTTGTCGTAGTTACAAGTGGATAAGGTTCTGGTCACAATAGCAAAAGTCTGGACTGAACTGCTTTATTTCTCTTCATAGGAGAAGGTCAAAACAGTAACACTGCCACAAAGCACAAATGGCAAATAACAGCTGTCCACTGTTACCAGTTACGGAACTTTTAAGTGACTGTTCCCAGTAAACAACTAGAATACAAATCTGTGTGTTTTAAACTACACATCTACAATGTCTATGCAATTAGCTGAGGTTGGATCAAGGATAAGAATTGGGTGACAATTCAGTCATTCTCACTAGAGAATCCAAAATTAGTTCTTGATATAAAATGAAAATCAGCGTGGGTCATTTTTCTTTGATGATATAAATTAAAAAGTCCTTTCATGAATGTGTCCTAACAATTAAAACAATCCCTTTAGCCATCCTTTGATACCAGTAAACTGACAAACAGGTCACATGAACTTTTACCTTAACAGCAGCAGCATGACAACTTACTATCTTCTTGGCAGCATGTGTGTCTGCTACCCAGACAGTGGTTATGCCACCTACCTGTGGGCAAACTGCATGACAAGCTAATGCCACTTGCCTATGTACACACTACATGTTCCACAACTTGAGAGCTTCACCTACTACTGATAGTTCCTTCAATGTTAGGAGGTGATCACCTTGACACATACTCCTGCCTTGTCTTCCAACCTGACACAAAACACTTCAAGTGATGTCAGATAGCTCACTTCCCTACATTTGAAGCCTATTGTACCAACAGTGGGCAAAGGGCACATGTTAACAACTCACAGGCGTCTTCTGGAATCTAAGAGCTAATCTTTGGCTGCTTACACATATTCTAGACACACAGTTTGTGAAGAGTAATGAACTCTTTTCCTCTTTTCAATGAGATAACACTGACCCTTCCTTTTAGTCTGATCTCAACTGAACAATATTCAATTAACCCTTTACATGCCGCCTCAGTTAGCACTTTCTCCAGTTGCACCTAAGTATCTTTGCTGGCAAAAAGAGCATGAAGGAATGAGAGGATGAGGTTTATTCAAGAATGTGGGTATAAACAGAAGACTGGTTTAAAGGCTCCTGAGAATTCTCATTCTTCTCATAATTTACATATTTCCTCCACAGTGCTCCTGTGCCACAGGATCCAGCATGATGATGTGTTTCCCTTTTTATCCTACTAATATTCTCATATGTCTTGGCACAACAACTGGGATTTATATTTTTGTGACAAATCTTGAAGATTCAATAGAAGTAGCCAGGTTGCCTTTTTATCATTGCTTTCCCTACATTCTAGAAAGACCAAGGTGGAAACCAACTTCAGTATCAAAACATCAAAAAATATTATAATCACATGAAGAAAGAGGGACTCCTTGGTACTCGGGTCAAAGACTGACCTTGACACACTGTCCTCGATGCTTAGTTCCCCCAACTGAACAGCTTCTTCCAGGTTCTTACACATCTACTGATCAGCATCTCAATGTCTCTTGTATGGAAAAGAAAAGCTCACATAACACAAGCTTTTGGCTCTCTGCATAGAAATGCAGAAAGTTATTGCTATCACCTGGCAACAAGACCAACTTAAAAAAAATCTTCAAAAAGTATTAAATTCTATAATGACAATTTTACTTTTTTTTGTTTTGTTTTTTTGTTTTTTTTTTTAAATCAGCGTTTCTCTGTGTAACCCTGGCTGCCGTGGAACTCTATAGACTTCATTGGCTTAAAACTCAAGAGATCCTCCTGCCTCCGACTCCCAAGTGGAGGAATTAAAAGTACAATGACACCAAATCCTAGCATGATAGTTTTATTTTAAATAGTTTGATTTTAATCATAAGTCTCATTCTAAAAATAACTTGAAGTTAAGACTGCATTTGTGGGTATGTGACAGGCATTGTTGACTGAAGGTTGGTACTTGAAATACTACAAGTGATTTCCACCAGGGTCAAGTCAACCTTTTAAAACTGTAGTGACTGGGTAGCTTGCAGGAAGCCTAGCTCACCTACCTGATGCACCAACCAACCATCTCAATTTAATATGAACAGGGCATCCCATATGTATGTAAATAGATGTATTTCTCTTCTAATAATGAACAGTCCCCAGAGAGTCTTTGGACTGGCTAACTGGCAGGAAAAACACTAACCCAGGTAAGACAAACCAAGAGACCAGTGATTCAGTCAGAAATGTATGTTAGAACACCTCTAGATCTGCTGCAATGAGACAGAACTGTTTCAAATCAGGTTGGGATCCACTGTTTCTGGCTCTAACCCACAAAAGGCCCAGGAATGCATACCTCAAACCTCTCAAATTCTGATACAAATACTTCCACCACTGTAATAAAATCTATTTTATTCCTCACTACATAATATTTGAGCTTCTAATTTTGTTATAACTTAAAATTGTTGTGCCAAGCACTAGGAGTCCAGGTGGGTTACTGTTCTATTCACTCATTCTTCTTGTAAGACACATGGAATCCAAAGTAACCACTGACTCTGGCATAGAAGTGACTCAAGACAATTCCTCATTTGTAAAGCCATGCATCTACAGCAGCAGCCTACATCAGTGATACAGGCAGGAGCTCTCTCCAACACTAAATGACCAAACATCTAAACTGTTCATCAATAAGAGGAAATAAGCATTTTATATTTGAAATTTTATGGGCAGTTTATTGAGTTCAATGATGAAAGCTATCAGAAGAATATTCTCCTGAAAAATGTTTTTTCTTAGAAAAAAACGAATGGAAGATCCAAACCCTCTCAGCATAGCCACAGATGCTGTGGCAGTCACATCTCTCTGGAGACAGGGACAGTCCATCAGTCTGAGGAGTCACTCCCTGGAGCAACGGGATTGTAGTCAGGATCATCCTCACCATCTTCTAGCTCCAAATCATCCATTTCTTGAAACAATGACTCATCCACTTCCACATTGTTCCCAGCTGTGAAGAGTAAGACAGCCTCACCTTATAATCCAGAAAAAACACAACTGCGGGGTGTGTGTGTGTGTGTGTGTGTGTGTGTGCGTGTGAGTTTGTGTGTGCGTGTGTGTGTTTGGGGGGAAGAAGGGGTTGGGGATAGTGGTGACTCCCAGCCTACCAGTGCAAATCCTTCTGATGCTGATCAGCAGAGACTCTGACAATAGAAGAGGAACTCCAATCTTCACAGTCATAGCCTAAAGTCTGGCTATTTTAAAACAGGCTCAAAGAATACTTAATGACAATATAGCAAGCTATAGTTGAAAATGAGGACTCACTGCTGGACCATCACTGAGACCAGCCCCACAGCGCAGCTCACATAGTGGCAGCAGATATGCATATCATCAAAGCTGAGCTGTAACTTCTTACTTAATTGACTGTCAGATGGGACTTGCCTAGTTCCCTTTACATGCAACAGATGGCAAAGGCTCTAAATGTCTAAGCCCTATGAGAAGCACTGCCCAGGCTCCGCCTCAACAAACACACCTTGCAGATAGCCTGAAGTAGATACAGCAGGATACCACAGCACTCCTCCATCTTTGCAAACATTATCTTCCTTCCCTCTTAAGAGGCTAATCTACTGATATTCAATCCAATGAGAATATAGAGAGCCTATATAAACTACAGTCTATGTAAATAATGCTAAAGGGCTGGAGAGATGGCTCAGCCATTGAAGGCTAGGCTCACAGCCAGAAGTACAATGGCAATGCCCTGAGTCCAGGCCACAGAGTAACTGAGTCAAGGGCAGTGGAGGCTTCTCAAGCATCTTCAGGGAACACCTGAATCCAACAGAAAATGAAGGTCTGGACAAGCAATTCTAAAAGCATATAAAACACTCGTACAAAACAATAAGATCTTGATATTTCCAGTAAGAAGACAAGAGTCTAGAGGAAAATATCAGGAAGTAACACAGGTAGGGCCAGAGTGAAATGGAACTACATACTTTTTCCCCTACCAAAGAATTCTAAAGTTTTATGGCTAAATATGAGTTTCACATTCTCAGAAGCAGACCAGTAACTATAAAATATTCAAGACTCTAAGACACACAGAGATTCATGGGTTGGAGAGATGGTAGGAGGACTGGCTGCTCTTCCAGAGGATCCAGACTCAATTCCCAGCACCTGCATGGTGGCTCACAGATCTATAACTCCAGGTTCAGGGATGTGATACTCTCTTTGGGCCTCCGTGGCCACTTAGCACACATCCAGTGTATACGATAACATGCTGTCCAACATTTGTATACATAAAGTAAATAAATATATCTTTAAAAAGATAAAGACATTGAGAGAATGATTTAAGTGGCTACAATAAATCCAGACAAAAACAATAAAACCTTCAAATGAGAGAAGGAAATTGCTGGGGGACATTTCCAATGTAGAATCAGCAGGTCTCTGAGAAATCTACTAGAGATGAAGAGATTCCTTTTCCTATGAGAAGAAAGGAGTCAGGGATAAGTGAAACCAAGCATGCTGAAACATGCTTCTAACCACAGCATTCAGAGGCAGAGGCAGGAGGATCATTGAGTTCAAGGCCAGTCTGGTCATAGCAATTTTCCAGGCTAGCCACTACTATATACAGTGAGGGACTACTGAAACAAGGGAGGGAGGAAGGGAGTAAACTAATGAAGTTTCTAAAGCACAAGAGAATAAGATGAATGAGGGAGCTAAAATTCATCAGCCAAGCAGAAGAGAATATCCTAGTGAATTTCTGATTTGTTTGGTTTTGGGTTGTCTGAGACAGTCTCACTCTATAAGTCACACTGGCCTATAACTCACAGTGTAGAACAGAACACCCTCAAACTTAGGCAATTTTGTTCAGTCTCCAAGTACACAGATTACAGATGGTAAGCCAACATGCCTAGCTTCAAGTTTTGTTTTTAAGATTATAAAAATAAGTATTCTGACCTATCAGCTAAAGAAGGTAATAATATATTTAAGGGGGAAAAAACATATTAAAGGCTAACAGTGTAGCTCAATGACAAAGCATTTGATCCATTCTTATCACCAGGAATAAAGGAAGAGGGCAAGTGCCAGTAAAGGACCCTGCAAGGTTAAGAAGAATGTTTCAGCAGTGGGCCACATCAGCAGTAGAACTCCAAAGGACAGGGAAGACATAAGAGGGTAATGACATGTACAACCTGAAAAAGGTGCTACTTCGACCAGGTGTGATGAGCGTGGGGCCTGTGTAAACACAAGCAACCCATCAGCTCCAGGAGGCAGGAAGAGGCCCATGCTGCCCTTTGCTGTGTGGAAAGTGGGAAGGAAGGCCAGCAGGTAAGCATCTTTGGGTGGGCATGATATATGCAAAAGAACAGGAGGGAGGGGTGGAGGCAAAGAGGTGAAACCTAAGGACAAGAAACTCCAACAACCACACAGTAGAAGGAGGGAGGGCTGCTCTGCAGAGGATGCTGGAAGTTCTACATCTGAGGCTTCTAGAAACCCTGAGTGGACTATGGATTCACTTCTCCCACATCTGGCATACAGACTTTCAGCAAAATGGTCACCTGAGTCATGCTGTACCAGTTTCCAGCTGAGGAGGCTTGTGTACTATAACTGTCACCCTTGAGGTGCTTAAGTTATCTGAAAACTTAAAACACACATTGCTATACAACTTAACATTTAGATTGAATGTACAAATTGATTGCTATACAATTTAACATTTATATTGAGTGTACAAATGATGAACTGTTAAACCTTCAAAATTTTGTTTTTAACAGGTTGGTAGGAAATTTTCACACTCAATAAAAATAGTACACTGCTTTTCATAGATCCACAAGGAAGTATAACAGTATCTTACCATCCTCCAGGAACTTGATATCAGATGTATCAAGATTATGATCTGTTTCAAATAACTGTTTCCCTAAAAGAAATAAATATACTTAATTCAAATAGTATAGCATTGCTTCATCCCCTATAATCACTTAAAAGGGTAAGACCCAAGAAAACAAATCTGAACATCTGTGTTTCTGGGAATTCTAATACATTCATGAATTGTGCAATAGCATAGAATGCAAGACATGTATTCACACTAAGAAAACATGAAAAGCCTAGGTTCTCCAGGACTGGAAAAGTATGTGCTTGATTCTATCACTCTGAAGGCTTTAGTCCTCAATATTCTTATCTAAGAATTTAGACTATAAGTCCAGACTCACCAAATACAAAACAGAAGTATAGTATATACAGCAGCTATGGACCATGTGTGGAGTGTACACATGTTTGCTGTGGAAATCTATCCCAGTCATCCCTGCTGTGTGGAGATGGCGTGGGCTGTGGGGTGAGAGGACTGACCAGGCCAGGGGCACCATACACACCACTTAGTTTATTTTTCCCTGCTTGTTCCTCTTCTTTCATTCGTTTCTTTTTAATTTCCTGGAGTTCTGCGTCAAACTTGGCCTTCCAACTCAAGAAATTCTCAATCGTAACAGGGGTGCCATGGAACAGTTTCTTAGAAAATGAAAGACACAGGTGTCATGTCAATGAGATAATAATTTAACAAATGAGGTCAAATGATTGTCTTCTAGATACCCACAGCCACACAGTGAAGCATGGACAGACACTACTGATGTCTGCCTGGACTAGCTCTCTATTTAATTTTAGCATCTTACTCTGGAAAAGTCAAATTTTAGAAATATTCTTCTTGCAAAACTTAAAACAATAAAGATAATGTGCAGTGCACTTACTGTCCTCGCCACAGCTGTTCATTACTAAGAAAGTTCTTGGTTTTAGTATGCTTTCAATACATATCAATTTAAAACACTGCCACCACGTTTTCACTTTAGAGTCTGGAGTTGACCCTGTTTATATCGCTGTGAAAGGACTTGTTGGGAAGCACTTACATTTCCTGATCTCACACAAGTGTGCTTTATCAACCTGTCATCTGTTACTCACAATATGTCCTCAACCAAAATGTCACTCCTAGGAAAATTTACCTTTTAGTCTCACTATTGTGATTTCCACAAGCAAGTTACTAACATTATCAGAAAAAAAAAAAAAAATCAAAGCTGGGGAGCTGGAAAGATGGCTCAGAGGTTAAGAGTAGTGACTCCTCTCCCAGTAGTCTTGAGTTCAATTCCCAGCAGCCACATGGTGGTTCACAACCATCTGTAGTGGGATCTGATGCCCTCTTCTGGAGTGTCTGAAGAAAGTGACGGTATACTCACATACATTAAATAAGTAAATAAATAAATAAATAAATAAATAAATCTTTTTAAAAACATTAAAGCTAAATATCAACTAAGCTATAGAGAGATGTGAAGAATATGAGACACAAGGTTTTCAAGTATACCTTCTCTGCTTCTTCTGCTTCCTTTTCTTTCTGTTTCTTTTCTTCCTCTCTTCTCGTTTTTATCTGATCAACTATTTCATTTAACTTCTCTTGAACAGCTGTCACAAGGGTGAAGATCATCACCATGCCGAGGTTCTCCTCAGCCTGTGGAAAGCAAACAGAGGTGGTGAGAAACACACTTCCCAGGAAAGTATAAACTGTCCAAAGAAACAAAATTATTATTAACAACTAAATCCTATGTTTATACCATGATTCCTCATTCAGTTATCTCATACTGCTGGATAAGTAGACATTTAAATTTGAGTATAGAGCCAGAAACAGCAGTAGTAAATCCCAGCATCTGAGATGAAGGCAAACGGATCAGAAACTCTTGACTACATAGGGAATTCAAGGCCACCCTGGACTACATATGACCTTGTCTTTAATGACGAGGACGCAGGCCTAGGAAACAAGTTGAGTATTGCTGTTCTAAAATCTGACAATATAGACTTCAAACCAAAAACTAGTGAGGAAGATAATGAAGGGTCACTTCTTAATAATTAAGAGAACTTCCAGAAGGCATACACATAACATCAGATACGAACCCCAGTACAATGGAGTGGATGACTTCAATACCCAAGAGTATACCCAATCATGAAGAGAATCATAACAGCCCAATGTGTGAGAATAAATGACTGCTGACTCCTCATCCCTAAACGGGACGTGTCTATCAGCCCATTCTGTCCCCAAGTTCAGAGCATCATGGAAGACTGTAAGATTGAGAGGATAGGGAGGTGTTATGTGTCTTCTAGACATGATATAGCCATTATATTTGCCTACACAAAACCTGCATTGGACCAAACCTTCCAAAAATCCCAGCATTGATAGAAGAGGGCATGGGGCCCTATCCTTAGCTGAGGAGCTCTGAGCAATTGATAGCTTCTATGGGAGTAAGTCATTTTTCTTTGGGTTTTCAGTGGGTTGCCTGTGCTCTAGTAAGTGGCTCCTAGCCAACTGCATATTGTTAGCACTAATTGGTCATAGAGAGCTATTTAAAGCAAGGGCTAGAGAGAGAGCCCAGTGGGGTTAAGAGCACAAACTGCTCATTTTGAAGTCGAAAGTACAGCTCCCAGATCCTGTATCAGATAGTCACAACTGACTGGAACCACAGCTCCAGGGACCTGATATCTCAGAGGAAACCTGCACTCATATGAGCATACCTACCTAGAGACATACATATACATATGCATAATTAAAAATAATATAAATCTTTTTTGTTTGTTTCTCTGTGTACTCCACGCTGTCTTCGAACTTGCTCTGCACACCAGAATGGCCAGAACTCAGAGATTCTCTGCCTCCTGAGATCTGGGATTAAAGGCATGTGCCACAACACCCGGCAAAATAAATCTTTAAGACAATAAAAAAGAAAAAATAGGACATGAAGATGGGGGAGGTTATACTGAGGGGAAATGTGGGGAGGAACATTATATACATGTATGAAATTCTCAAAGAGTAAAAATCTTGTCTTTTTTAAAAAGATGCTTTGTGATTATGTATCGTGAATTCTGATTGGCCAATGTACTATTTACATATATTTAAAAACATTTTCTAGCTGTTTAATAAAGGCCAATAAAATATGCTACTATAAAGAAAAATGGTTTCCTTACCTGCGAAGCCAGTAATTTTAAAATGTCTGAGACATCATTATCTTCTAGATTTTCCTGGGAGAATATTTCATAAAGGGGAGTCTCATCGGGGTATTTTTCACTGTATGTAAACTTGAGAGTAGTTTGGACAGCTAAGGCACAAGAGAAATATTTAAGGTGAACATATTAAAAATATAAAAATCAATGTTTCTATTGAGTCAGTAATTTGTAACCTCAGTGAAAAGTATCACAAAAGAATTACTAATATAAGCAACAACCTCAACAAGATGAGTTGAAGAAATCAAGAGAATGGCAGAAATTCCTTCTTGCCCATGAAACACACCACCTAATGGCATTTTAATATATTGTATTTCAGAGAAAGACAAAAACCATTTTTTAAAAAATATCCTGGCTAAATAAACAAAAACCTACTTCAAAATAGTATTAACAAAATTATTGCCATAGGCTCACGCTCAGCCTTTACCACAGAAGTTCCTGACTGCAGGGGACTTAGCTAGAGCGAATTCATATTCAAAAGCACAATGGCAGTGGGATGTTGCTAACTGAGTGTCTAAGTAACATGTTTTTGCACTGGCAGTTCTGAGAGGCTAATGCTGAGACTATAAGCTTGTATTACCACACTTGCTAAAAAAGCATAAAAAACTTTCTGCTTTTAAAAAACTTACTGCTTTTACTATAACCCAAACCAGGTAGTCATTAAAGAAAAGTATTGATACCCATAATGTTTTTTATGGATGTAACTGAATCATTTCACTACATGTAAACTTACCAAATCAGAGCACTATACCATGTCTATAATTATTTACCAATTCAAAGTAAGAATGAAAGGCAGGAAATATAATCCATGGATAAAGCACTTGCAACATAAAAGCTAGGTAAAATATAGCACATATGGAATTCTAGTGAAAAGACAGGAGACAGACACAGGACAAAGCTTGCAGACCATGCAAAGCAAAGGCCAACACCTAAGATTGTCCTCTGATCTCTACACATATCTAGATGTATTCACACATAACACCCGGTGCTGGAGAGATGACTCCGCAGTTAAGAGTACTAGCTGCTCTTCCAGAGCACCTAGGTTAATCTCCTAGCATCCACACAGTGGTTCACAATCATTTATAACTCTAGATCTGAACCCTCTTCTAGCCTCTGCAGCAGACAGGTATGTACAGTCACATACACGCCCAGAAACACTCACGTACATAAAATAACAGTAAACTTTAAAAAACTAAAAACAAAAAAAGAAGATAGAAGAAACAAATGATATAGACATGTCTATAATCTCAAGCCTAACCGGTCCATCACTCCAATTCGCTTCCCTAAGTATGTCACCATTTCCTGGATAGGACAGAACTATGCTTATTATAACATTCCAAGTATCATTTACTAGTGTTGAAATACTTTCTTTACCGTAATATTCCATAAGTAGAGACACACAAAGGGTGTTTCTTACATTCTGTGACTGAACAGCTCTCCTATACTAATCTAAACTCACAACACCATATTTTTCTACTCAACACTGAAGATTTATTGGATGAGATGAAATACCTTCATTTTGTCTTGCCTGAAGTAATAGTGAGATTAGTTTTTAAATATTCATTTATACTGCCACATCTAGACACTAAGTATCAGCTCCTCTCGCCTACTCTTCTACTAATCCATTCATTAAAATGAAGGATAGAGACAAAACCAGCAGAACCTAGGCATTGTTTCAAACAGTTAAAAACATTTCTCAAACTAAAAAGCAACTGTACACAGCTGTTTTTACAAGAGTGCTATTAGCTCCCAATAAAGGTACTGTTCAGAATATGAGAATGCTCTCTGGAAACTTTAATAAGAAAGTTAAATTCTGTCTCAAGCAGTGCCATCTACACACATACTGGTTTTACATAGGCAACTGATGATGAAGAGCTTGGAGGGCTTCAAGCAGTGTTTATTTGGAACTTTAATGGAAAATTTGTAGATACTTATCTATAAAAGTACAGAAAGAATAACTGTGTCTAACACCTTTTTGTTGAAATTTCAATGGACCTCAACGTGGAACTCATTTTCCATTATTAAGAAACTAACAGTTTTCGTCTCACATCAGTGTTTTGGGGTTGTGAACTTGTCTAAGACCCCCCATAATTAGACATCCAAATTCAAAACTCACATAGTAGGGATTGAACATAAGACGCCTTCTCTAACTAAACAGAGAAGGGGGAGATGCCAGAAGCCAGGACCCTCGCCCTTACCCTTACCCCCTATCTTTCCCCACCTGCACAATGTCCTCTGAAGCTTGGCAACTGCAAGATCCTGCTTAGCAACTGCATATAGACTCAAAGCAGAGTACCATGTCTTCTTAAGAATAGCAGGGAGACCATAACTCAAGCAGTGTACCATATCTTCTGAAGAACTGCAGGTAGATCATAATTCAAGGCAGTGTACCATATAGACCATGACATGTTTCAAGGCACAGGCCAAGAAGATTTTGTACTTTTCCACCACCTGGACCCTCTTACCCCCCTCCCCTTGTAAAACATGCTATAAAAAAGCATTTCATGTTCAAAAAAAAA